ACCTTGAACGAATTTTTCTACGTCTTGGAAATGCGGTTTTTTGTTGACGCTGCAGAGTGAACAGCAATTAAACACTTTCGTCAATGACAGCCCCACTTTAATAAAATGGGAGAAAATTGGCAATGTGCGTCATATGTAGTTTGACAATTAGAAGTGCAAGGATACTTAACACGTTTGTGGAAAAGAGAAATGGAAGCTACGTTACTGCAGGAACTCGAACGCATCACCGAATTATTGGCGCAGCGGGCGATAAACATCAATACTGAAGATGAGCGTTGCGATTGCTTGATGCGATGTGATCAGTGCATCGAATTGATAGACGAACGATTACAAATGGGAGAAGATTTATCAGTCGAAGGATGGCGAGACATAGAAGCATACAAAGAAAGAATCGACGCCTTGCGTAGAATATTGTATCGTGACAATGATCATCCTAGTGGTCAAAAGGCAATATTACTAAACGAACTTGCTTGTATAGAACAACTTTTGACACAACGTATTGCAGCCATAAGTAGTAACGACGATAGAACCGCATGTCTGGTGCAATGCAATCAATGCATTGATTTAATGATAGAGCGATTGCAACTGGAAAAGGACTTATCAACTGGTTTGAAAAATAGTTTAACAGCCAGGATAGCGAGATTTAAATCGTTAAGAGCAGAGTTACACGGATCTGTAAAAATAGGCGAAGGTCAAAGGAGAACAGATGCTGAATCACATGCAACTTCATCATCATCTCTTATCTGGGAGGATGTAGAATCAGCTTTCCATAACCGGATAACTACAGGAATTATAATCAACACCGAGCATATTGAACCACGAAACTTTTTGGAAGATGCTAGAAAAATAGTATTCCAACGTCTAGCGGAAGTTTTCCAAAATCATTCATGCATAAAAGTGAATACGGTGTTGTATGGGGAGTTTACCGCTAATAATAAAACTGATGTGAAAAGTTTCAGTGTGAGAAATAAACAATTATTTTCTACATCAAACTTGAACGATTGGTATGACAAATACGTTGTGAACTCAACTTTAACACTGATGGAAGAATTTCAGGAACGGGATAGTGGTTGGGCAATATCGAAAATTCTGCATTTGATGTTAAATATCAATAAATGCAATCCGATGCATGTTGGTTGTTACACCGACATACCAAAAACAATCATGGACAAAAGAGCGGTAGTAAATGTGGCAGTTGACGATGATACATGTTTTGTCAGATCGATAGTTGCAGCATTATATCCCGCCCATGTGAATGCAAATCGGCCATCATCGTATCCCAACTATGACACCGTTTTAAATTTGAAGGGCATCGCATTTCCAATAACGCTTAATCAAATACCAAAATTTGAGCGCCAAAACGATGTTTCGATAAACGTTTATTTCTGGGACATGAATGTGAAAAGGTGTGCTCCGCTCCAACTCACCACTAACAAAAGATTTCGTCACGTTAACCTGCTGATGCTTGAAACGCCCAACCGTAATGTGCGCCACTTTGCATGGATTAAAAATCTTTCCCGGCTTGTTTCAAACCAGCTCAGTGCACATAAGAGTAAAACTTATATTTGTGACAGGTTTGTATCACGCCATTACCATCTATTTTAGTGTATGCGTTTGTTCTTTTTGTACTAATGCAGTTACTTTGTTTATATGCAGGTGCCTTCATTACTTTTATGTGGAAGAAAAGTTATTGAAACATACGAAGGACTGCATGAAGATGAACGATTGCGCAATCATTCTACCATCGAGTGAGGATAAAATAATAAAGTTTGATAATTTTTGTCACCGAGAACGTCATCCATTCATCGTGTACGCCGATTTCGAATGCATGCTTAAGAAGATTAACAGTAACATCAATCAAGGACACTGCAATGCATACCAGCAGCACGAAGCATACAGTGTGGGATATTATTTTCACTGTTCGTACAACGCATCGGTGTGTGAGTATCGCGCGTATCGGGGTCCTGACTGTGCTGAATGGTTCGTGAATGAACTTGAGAACCTTGTAAGAAAAATTGCACCATTATTTAATACGATTGTGCCCATGACAAATTTGACGGATGATGAAAGAGAAAATTATATGAATGCGACGCATTGTTATATTTGCGAAAAACCGTTCGACATCGACGAAATGAAAGTTCGAGATCATTGCCATTTCACTGGTCGTTACCGAGGACCTGCTCATCAGGGATGTAATTTAAATTATAAAAATAAACGTTTTATACCAATAGTGTTTCATAACTTATCGGGATACGATGCCCATTTTGTAATAAAAGAATTGGTAACGATTATCGAAGGCTCGACATCAGTCTTGCCAATTACAAAAGAAAAATATATTTCATTTTCAACGAATTTAAAACGTTACAAAATTTCGCTTCGATTTATAGATTCATTCAAATTTTTAAATTCAAGTTTGGATAAATTGAGTTCGTATTTAGGGAAAGACGATATGACGATTTTACGGTCACAATTTAATTTTTTGAACGAGATAAGATTCGATTTGCTTACACGAAAAGGCATCTTTCCATACGATTATGTTACCGACTACATGAAACTGAACGAGACGACATTGCCGACATGTGACAAATTTTATAATCAACTAAGCGACTGTGCCGTTTCACAGCAGGATGATGACCTCGCGATAAAAGTCTGGTGCAGTTTTAATATAAAAACACTTGGCGAATATAGCGATTTATATCTAAAAACAGACGTTTTATTATTGGCTGACATTTTTGAAAATTTTCGTAGCAGCTGTTTGAGAAGTTACAAATTGGATCCTGCATATTACTATACTTTACCTGGTTTTACGTGGGATGTAATGCTGAAGCACACGCGTATCGAATTAGAATTATTGACAGATATCGATGTGCTACTTTTCATAGAGCGCGGCATACGCGGCGGTTTAAGTCAATGTTCTAATCGATACGCAAAGGCCAATAATAAATACATGGATTCGTACAATTCCGAAGAACCATCGCGATATTTAGTATATTTCGACGTTAATAATTTGTATGGATGGGCAATGTCGCAGTATCTACCTTACGGCGAGTTTAAGTGGTTAGACGATAATGAAATTAAAACTTTTAACATTCATGCAATATCCGAAAATTCGAACATTGGATATATTTTGGAAGTCGATTTGAAATACCCGCTAGAATTACACGATAAGCACGCAGATTTACCTTTTTGTCCAATACGCGAGAAGCCTCCTAATGCCAAACATGAGGAACTACTCGCTACAGTTCAGGATAAGCAACGTTACATCATCCATTACGGCAATCTTCAACAATGCATAAATCATGGCTTAAAAGTTTCTGTAATTCATCGCGTTTTAGAATTTAAACAATCTCCATAGCTTCGCGAATACATTAATTTAAACACACAACTTAGAACTGTAGCTAAAAATGATTTTGAAAAGAACTTATTTAAATTAATGAATAATGCAGTCTTTGGTAAAACTATGGAGAACGTTAGAAATCATGTAGACGTTAAATTAGTTACAAAATGGGAAGGTAGATACGGAGCTGAGGCCCTGATAGCAAAACAAAATTTTCATAGCAGATCAATATTTTCGGAACATTTGGTTGCAATAGAGATGCGAAAGTTGGAAATTAAATTTAGAAAACCCATTTATGTTGGTATGTGCATTCTGGATATATCAAAAACACGTTTGTACGAATTCCATCATGATTATGTTTGGCCGAAATTTAAACATCTTTGTAAAATATTATACACAGACACAGACAGTCTTATATACGAACTGGAATGTGATGACATATACGATGTAATGAAACGCGATATACATCGGTTTGACACGAGCGACTATACCGAGGACAATGTTTACAGTATGCCACGTGTAACGACCCAGTGATAGGTACGTCACTGCACCGACGTATAGGGAGAGCGGTTCCCCAAGAAGGCGACTCGTATGAATGAGAATTGGGATTATAGGTTCGTGTGGTGTGCGGTTAAGGAGTGAAATCCAACATTAATGTATCAAACTAAAAATTATCTTTTATTTAAGTAAGTAAATTAACTATAATTGCTCTAAGTAAGTATAATATTAAGTATAACAATAGGTACGCCCTAGATAATGAAATACAATAAGAAATTATAATAGGTACGCCCTAGATAATGAAATACAGTGCAAAATATATGATTAACGCGACTTGATCTTCGAATACAGCCAATACTCTGTACAATTTGCCAAGTTACACTAAGTACTGGAAAACTATATTCTAGTAGCTTGTATGATACCTTCGGACACGAGCGGACTATACCTACAGGTCGCAATCGGTTTCTGGTCTAGCCAGAGCTATGCTAATACAGGCCTGCTCAAGGAGCTCCGCTCCTCGCTAGCTCTTTACACTTGAACGTGTGGCTTAGTATTAGCACGTGTTCAACACGTTGCGTACCATGAGTAGGGTGTCCACAGATCCGAACTCTCGTACGTCGCTACTGAAAGAGAAGGATAGAGCTAATCTCGCGCTCTATAGTTGCCTAGGCAATTCAGCGCAAGCTTTTCCTCTACTTCCAGAGTATTGTCTGCATCTGACCGAAGCCAGGGAAGATCTGATCTGGCTCTGCGTGGAACGCCTCTATTTATAGTCAGATTCTGCTGACTTAGCGTTTTTTTTTATTATAGGGTTCCTTTGAATTTCTGGAATTCCCCATCACGTGACGGCCGAGCACCCCTGCTCCTTAGTCTACGCGGTCACCCTACTCTAGAATTTCACCCCACCGCGAGATCATCGGGGTTGCGCTGGCGCGTATGCATTCGTTTGTCGATCATTTATCGATAATCTATTTACCGACCGACTTACCGACTAATTGCTTATCGACTTATTCAATCAGACTATATTATCGATTAAATGAAATTTATTTATTATAAGAAGTATAATACAAATCAAACTAATTACTTTTTTATAAATTCAATTAAACGTAAAAATTAACTTAACTATTTTGTACAATATTTAAACCAAAAATAAATCATAACAACAACAACGAAATGAAAAAGGTGCTGGGTCTTCTTAACGGGTCGTTACAGCTTCCCCCGTGCGTTTGTCTCTTGTCCTCAAGAGACTGTGGTTGCGTCTTCTGAGGTGGCAAAGGGCGCAGCGGCATTTCTCTTCGCTGTTCCTTGGGGATGCTGATAGGACTCCAAAATATTTAATTATTTTTCCTTGATTTCTTCTCGGGTCACCTTTTTCCGACTTTCTATAGGTTTTCCAGTCGAATTCTGGAATGTCGATTGTAATTAACCTCCATCGTGGTAGTGGTGCTTTTTCTTCTACTATTATCATTTCTTTTTGCTCTGGCATCTTTGAAAATTTTGTAGAAAACAAATAATTAATAAATGAAATAAATTATTAAAAGTATAATTTTACCTCTCTGAACTGTTTTAATGCTCTTCTTAATCTTTTTAAACGTTCGCGTCGTCCTGCGCGTCGCACCATTTTCGCTCTTTATAAATTGAATGTAGCGGTGCGTGCGTAGCGTTGCTTTGTATAGCTTTCTTTGTCGCTCTTTGTTTCTATCTCTTTCTATGCTAATATGGCGGACTTGCGATTCTGCGCATTAATAAATCGAACGAAATAAATATGGTTCGTGAGTTTTGAAATAAATAAATTCACTCGTTTATAGAAGAAAAATAATTATATATATATTTAAATGAATAAAGTATTTTATAAAAGAAAGAAAACATGGATTAATATTAACTATGAGTAATAACTCTGTACTCTTCATTTTGCACAACAACATCCTTTAATGGAAAAATGTTAGGGTCTAGAGTCGGCAAAATAAATCCTTCACGAAAGGTTTCCTTATGTTCATTGTCGGCTGCGAATAGTCTACTTCTGCAGCTAGTGCAGGAGGCTGCTGGTCTCATCCTGCATAGCACTTTTCTGCATATTATGCAGTGGATATAGTTGATATCTGTATTTTTGGATACATGGTTGTGCCATCCCATAAAGAACCACATCTCCTTCGCTTCCGGGACCATTTTAAATGCACAGTCGATACATGTTCGGCCAATTCTGTGCGCCAAATTGTTATTGAAAACTGGGCCGATGTCGCGGATACAGACAGCGTCCAAGATATATTGCCCAATTTCTTCAAACTACAATAAAAAGAAAAAGTTTTACTTTCTTGTATAAGTTTATATTTAAAATATGTTCTACCTCGTTCAGATCCATCTTTTTCTAACTTTTTCCCTTTTTTTTTTAATATTATAGTAATAAAAATTTCAGTAGCGTCTCTTTTCGTGTGCCTTGCTTTTTTTTGCGTTCTATGCGCAATATGGCGGTAGGTTTAAAATTCTGTATCTGCGCATGCGTATGTTCCGAAAATTATATAGATTGTCGTATCGACTTTTATTTTTGATCCGCGCTGTAGATTGGTCGATAGGCCCTCTTTAGTCGATCTTTGTGTACTATCCTAGTCTTTTTGGGACCTATCTGCAATTCTATGTTATTTTTTTCTATGTTTCTTAAAACAGTGTATGGCCCAGTGTATTCTTTTTGTAATTTACTTCTTCTTGGTGGATTTAAGAGCATTACTTCTTCTCCTGTTTCATAATTAATTGGACGTATTTTTCTATCGTAATAGTATTTTTGTCTATATTTTGATTGTTCTAGATTTATTTTTGCGGTTTGTCTAATTTCATGTAAGTTTTGTAATAGTTTATCTACGTAGTCAGGGTATGTATCTAATCTGTCAGATGGTATAAATTTTGATGGCAATCTTGCCTTTTTTCCATAAACCAGTTCATGAGGTGTGAATTTTGTTCCCTCGTGAACACTTGTGTTGTATGAGAACATTGCTTGCTGTAGCCATTCGTCCCAATGTTCTTGTTTAGATATGTAGTGTTTTAAATATTCAACCAGAACGTGATGGCTTCTTTCCAGGGACCCGTTTGACTGAGGATGGAAGGATGATGTACGGTACGTCTTGATATGGAAGATTTTGGCTAGCTTTTTGATTAGCGAGGATGTGAAGCATGTCCCTTGATCAGTGAGGATAGCTTTAGGACTACCGAACTGGCATATGAATGAATTAGTGAATGCTCTTGCGACGTCCTCGGATGTGGCTGATACAAGTGGAACTGCGACGGAGTATTTGGTTAAATTATCCTGTATAGTGAGGATGTAACTGTATCCTTTATGCGTCATTGGCAAGGGTCCAAGAATGTCTAGGGACACCTTATCGAATGCGTCTGAAGGAGTGTCTGTGATAACCATTGGCTCCTTATTCTTCATCCTTACTAGCTTGGTTCGCTGGCAGCTTATACAGGATCTAACGTAATCGGTAATTTCTTTTTTCATGTTTTTCCAATAATACTTGTTCCTGATTCTAAGGTAAGTTTTCCTGATACCTTTATGTCCTGCGACTGGGCTTTCATGATTTTCCCTAATTATATTTTTCCTTTCCTCTTTAGGTGGAATTTGGACCGTTCCTTTGCAGATAGTGATGTTGATATTAGAGTCTGCAAAGACTATCTGGAGAATTGCTTTTAAACCCTGTCTATTTGGCATGCTGCACTCCTGGATTCCTTTTTGGAGTAATATTTGATGAAGAATTTTAATTTTCTGTGGTAATGTTTCTCTAGATTCTACTATTATTCCAAAAATTAATCTATTTTTGATTTTATATTGCATGATGTTACTTTGTGGTTTAGAAATTTTAATCTTTTCATTTTCCATAAATTGTCTTGATTGTATATCTTCTGGTTGTCCTTCTTTGTTAAGAAATATTATTGCTGTGCCTTTTTTCATCCATAGATGGTCTTCGGTTTCTTCTATTTTTAATATAATTGGTTTATTGCTGATTATTTTGGGTTTTATTTGTTTAATTTTTGGTGGTTGATTTTTTTCTTTTTTAATTTTGATGGGTGTAATCGGAGCTGATAGAGTATCGCTTGAAGTCTCTTTATCTATTTTTCTTTTTAGTACTGGAGATCTTCCTCTTGTGCTTGAAGAAGAATCGATTTTAGGTGGTTCTCTGAAAATGTGTTTCGGTATAATTGTTTCTTCGTTGTATTCTTCTATTTCATCTCCAATTATTACTGGTTCCTTATTTATAGGTCTTTTCTGTGGAATGATATATTTTCGATCCTGTGGTGGTTGATGTACTTCTACAATGACTTGCTGTTCATTAGGTCTTCTTTTCTTTCTGATCTCTTCAGAGGAATATATTTTTGGATTTAAATTTGTTCTTTTTCTTGGTTTTGGTGGCTCTTCAGATACATCTGTCTCATAATATTGAGATTCATCTGAGCTTGTATAATCCTCTTTTACTCTTTTCTTTGTTGCGTTGTCCTCTTGAGAAAAACTTCTTTCTCGTATCCTGTCTTTCCGATATTTTTTTCTTGTTTCGAATTCTGAGGAATCGTCTCGTGGTCGTGTTAAATGTTTATGGCTTATTTTCCTTTTCTTAATATCCCGTGAACTAGATGAAGTTGTTGGCCTTGGTCTTCTAGGATATTGATGCCATTCTTTCTTCTTTTTGTGTTCTTCAGACTCAGTCGTAGTTGTTGGTCTGAGTCTGGTAGTATACTGGTGTGATTCCTTTTTCTTTTTGAATTCTCTTGATTCTGACGTGGTTGTTGTTTGTCTTGGGCGAGTGGGATATTGGTGCCACTCTTTCCTTTTCTTGTGTTTGCCCGATTCTGAAGTGGTCGTCGTTTGTCTGGGGCGAGTGGGATATTGGTGCCACTCTTTCTTCTTCTTACGCTTCTTTTTTGACCCAGACGTAGACGAATGCAGCCTCTTAGCATGTATTTGCAGGGCGTTTATATCTTCGATTGGATTTCTCGAAAGAGCGTCAGCGTTTATATTTTGTTTGCCTGGTTTGTACTTTATTTCATAATCGTACTCGCTCAATCTCAATTTCCATCGCATGAGTCTCGATGTAGGATCTGTGAGACTATTTAGCCAGATCAATGGTTTGTGATCTGTAATTAGATAAAACTTCCTGCCAAATATATATGGTCTGAAGTGATTTACTGCAAATATTACAGCAAGTAATTCTCTCTCTGTTGCGGAATATTGCGTTTCCGGCTTATTCATTACTCTTGAGGCGTAAGCTACTGGCTGATCCTTTCCTATCTCTCCTTGACTTAGGACTGCTCCTACCGCTGTTCCGGATGCATCAGTGGTTATATTAAATGGTCTCTTAAAGTCTGGATATTGCAGGATCGGTTCTTCGCATAGTACGTTTCTCAAGAATTCGAAGGCTTGCTGCTGTTGGCTGGACCACTCGAATTTTTGTTCTTTCTTCGTCAGGTCGGATAATGGCTTGGCTATCTTAGAGAAGTCTTTAATAAAACGTCTGTAGTATCCGCACAATCCCAGAAATTGTCTAATGTTTTTGACAGTCTTAGGAATGGGGAACCTCTGGACTGCTTCAACCTTTGCTGGGTCAGGTCTTACACCGTCTTCTGTAATTATGTGACCCAGGTACGCTACTTCTTTCTTCAGAAATTGGCATTTGTCAGGTTGCAAGCATAAGTTTGCTTCTCTGAGCTTTGCCATCATCCTATTGACTTTGGTTTCGTGTTCTTGTAACGAACTTGCATAAATTACAATGTCATCGATGAACACGAATAGTTCCAGTCCTTGCAGTCCGTCTAGGACGTTGTTCATCAGACGTTGGAACGTAGCTGCAGCATTTTTCAACCCAAAAGGCATTCTGTTGAATTCAAAGTGCCCAAATGGTGTCGAAAATGCCGTCTTATGCTTGTCTTCTGGATGCATTGGTGTTTGATGAAAACTGGACTTCAAATCAAACACGGAGAAGTATTTTGCGCTTCCCACTTGATCCAGGATGTCTGTAATATTGGGTAGTGGATAGGCATCGCTGATTGTTTTTTCGTTTAGCTTTCGGAAATCAATCACCAATCTCCACAATTTGTTTCCCTGTGAATCCTGTTTCTTAGGTACTATCCACAAGGGGGAGTTAAATGGTGACGATGAATGTTTGATTATTCCTTTCTCAAGGAGATCATTTACTTGATAATTGATTTCGTCTTTTAACGCATGAGGATACCTGTATTGCTTAACGTTTACAGGCATCTCATCCGTTGTGATGATTCTATGGTAGATTTTATTTGTTGCTGGGAGTTTATCTCCATCTATATAAAATCTGTCAGCGTGCTCTTTTACTATATCCTCTACATTGGCAAATTCTTCTTGATTTAGATGGTCTGTCTGTAGTATCTTTAGAATCTTTTGGGCTCGCTCAGGTTCTTGGTGGACTGCATCTTCATCTTGTGGTGCTTCTTCATATTGTTGCAGTTCAACAGCTGGCATTTCAATTTCTATATCTTCTGCTCCAACGTTGATTGCGTATAGAAATGCTATGCCATCCCGGTTCGTGACTACAGCATTCCCCATATATAGTTGTGGGTGAAGCTGTAGTTTTGGGACAAAACCGGTTTTTATTTCTGTGTTTGACACCTTTATGGGTATCATGGTTTTTGTCCTGG